ATTTATTTAGTTTGTCACTTAATTATAAATAAATTTACTATTTTTTTTAGCACATGTGATAATTAAATTAGTGGTATGATATTGTCTACTATGTGTCTAAGTTTTTATTGTTTTGTTTTTAGTTTCATCCAAAAAAGCTTCATATTAATTAAAATAACAGTAGTTTTTTCAATTCTTTTCTTTGTACAATTGATATGAGACTTTGGTCACATTTTCTAACCAAATTAATATATATTAACCCAGAATTAAATAAAATTAATTCATAAAAGAAAAGTTGAAGGTACAAGTCTCAAGAAAACAAAGGGCTTGTTAGGAAAAAAAAAGATATTGTTAGGAAAAAAAAAGATATTGATATCATTTAGTAGAAATTTTCCTTTTAAAAGATATGATTTCTAAATAGATCCCACCTAACTTAAAAAGTTATATACAAATGATAACAAAACCAGAAATGAAATTATTTTCCCTCCTTTATGGTTGACAATGAGTAGGGTTCATTTTCAAAATCAGTCCATTTACTATTGGAGAGAATAAAATACCGTAAGATGTAATTGGTCCAGACATATATTTTCGATAAAAATATCAGAGGTTCAGACCTTTATTCTCCTATATTATTAAATTCAAAATATAATATAATAAAGTACGATGAAATATGAAATTTTGAAGGACCATTTTGGGTAAATACGACAACTAACTATTGAGCTTTTAGTACAAGGAAGAAGTCTATCATTAATATTTTCATTATTATTGGAACTATATCAGCCAACTAAAACCAACAAAAGTAGAAAAACATATTCATCTTCTTCAAATGTAAACATGCGTATATAAGGTTAAATATATGTTTTGGTCCATAATTTTTGGATGGTTAATATTTTAAAAGTTTCAATTTCAGTTATGATGTAATGAAATTTTTTTTCATTTAAGTCTTATATTGTCACAAAATGTTAAAATTAATTAATAATATGATGATATAATTTCAAAATACACTTTATTAGTTGAGTTTAAAGTCCTACGTTTTATTTGGATGAAATAGACATAGTATTCACCCATAAAATGTAAAACTTATTTAATATAAACCTAACTCAAATGGATGTCATAATATTATTTATTTATATATATATATAAATGTACTTTTTTTATTCCAAAGTTTGATAGTTAGATCTTTGTTAAATTCAAATAAATAAAAAGAAAAAAAAAACTCATTTAGTAGAATTTAGTATGTTGTAACTTGACTCAAAATTGCTCATTATGGTAGAAAATTAGACTCATTAAAATGGTGATATATATTAACAATTGACAAACTCATCGAAATTGCCATTTTCAAATTCATATATCGTCCTTTTTTTTAAGTGTTTTAAAGACTAAATTAAAAAAAAAAGATTGAAAGACATTTTTGATATCTATATTTTTGCAAAAGTAACGATTTAATCCCTGAAGTTTAGTTTGTAACTATTTAGTTCATGTACTTCCAAATTCGTAACAATTTAGTACATGAACTTGTATGTAATAATTTTGTTCCTATACTTTAAAAATTTGTAACAATTTAGTCTCTAACCTAAACATTTTCATCAAGATTAATTAAGTATCAATTTTTATCAAATAACAATTTAGTATTTGTAATTTATAAACACATTTGGTCTCTCGTTGATTTATCAATCTATATATACGAGAACTTAACAAAAATTTTCATGATAGAAACTAAATTGTTACAAACTACTATATTGCCTAAATTGTTACGTACTAAAATGTTTGGACTAAATTGTTACCACTTTGAGAGTATATGAACTAAATCGTTATAAACTAAAATTTAGAGACAAAATCATAAGTACAATATAAGTATATTGACAAAAAAAGTATTATTTAACCAAAAAATAAATAATAAAATTCACTTTTAAAATATCAAAGACCAACTTGAGAAAACACTCCAAATAGTAAACATACATTTGGCAGGATTAACAATTGAAATGGTGGGAGCAAAATGACCATTGGGTCCACAGATATTTTCTATGTAATGTAATTTAAAGTAAAAGTAAACAAAAACTTAAGCCCATTTTGTAATTTCCAAAATCTAAATGAAATGGATCCTTAAAAAAATTCTTTTTTGTTTCACAAACGACAAAATAATAATAAATAAATAAATAATAAAGAGGGAGAGAGGGAGAGAGGGAGTCAATGCATGAGTGCACCGCCGATATGGTGTGCATCCGTCCACGAAAGCATCCAAAAGTGGGGCCCACAGCGAACTTCTCGCACGTGTGCATCCAAGTCTGAGATACGGCCGGAATCTGTCTGTAGCTTGTCGTGGGCCCCGCAACATGGGGTCAAAGTCAAACCCCCGCATACGACGTCGCACCAACATCGTTAACAATATATTCCATTTCCGCCACAATATTTAATAATATTGCTTTTAATTTTATTAGAAAAAGAAAAAGAAAATTAAACAGACAGGTGTCTCACTCTCAGTTCGAATCCAATGTTCAAACCTGCCCACACGGACCTTTTAACTTTGTCTTTTACCTCAATACCATATTTATAAAAAAAATTTCCTTTTTTAGATCCGTGCTTACGCGCATCTAGACAAATCTCACGAGTCAATCGTCTAACCTTACAATATTTGGTATTGGAATCAACAAACCCATCGATAATGATTTATATTTATAAACATACCAAACTACATTTTTTTTAGTTGTTTTCAATTCAGTCCCTAATACTTTTAATGTTTTTAATTTAGTCTTTCAACAAATAGAAAGTATTAAAATTTGCCGGTATAATAGTGAATTTGTAGAAATCTAAAAGACAAAAATCATGCAAGAAGAGTTGAGGTTATAGGGATGGATGTAAATTACCACGGAACTAAACTCATGTTGGCAAGAAAGAGAAGTAAATTATATATAATATTGATGACACTTTTTTCTCTCTATTTTTTTTTTAATTTTTAATTTAGTTGTTTTTTTGGGGAGTGTCAAAAGAGTACAAAACGGGATTTGGAGGGTTCAAAAAGCCCAATTGAATGTGATTCTAACAAGGGATATGGAAATCATGGCAATTGATATGCAAAAGCCAATACTCAAAAAGGTTACAAAAGCACCTCCTTAATGGAACATCTACGGCTTTCTTTGCCATTGGCACCATATAACACCATCAAAATGTCACCATAATACCATATTTGTCTTTTGTATTACTTCTTTTTTTTTTTTTTAAGTGTGGAATTTTTTTCGTTCTTTCCCTCTTAAATATAGTCCGTCGAATCGATTCAACTCGTTAGGATGGAATTCAAATGGAACAATATTTCCACATCAATACTTTTTTTCTCTGTCTCATGTGCCGACGATTTTATCAAAATTAAACTAAAATAATAAACAAAAGGAATTAATTGTACATTTTTAATTTTTGTCTTCTTTTTTTCATATGGATGTAATAGATATATTAAATAGAAACCATATCCAATGACATCTTCATAGTTATTTCTCAATTTTATATGTGCGTATCATTTTATTCATGTATCTTATATTATATTTTAATACTAGTGACGTGACTGAAAATCAATGGCAGCGTTATTGACCAACTTAATAAGAACAAGTATGTATACTATTTTATTTTATAAATTTCATATTATTCTTAATAAGAACAAGTACTGCAAATTTATGCTTCTATTAATAGCATTGGATATTTTTCCATATCATGTCACATTAGCTTTAACTATTTGATTGAATAATTTAAAAAACAAATTATTTGATAGAATAGCGAATGGCTCAACAAACCTTTTGTTTTACTGTTATAAAATAATAATAATAAATAAATAAACTTTTGTTTTATTGTCAATGTATCCAAAATGACTAATAAAATAAGTAAAGCGATGAATGTCATAAATAATCAATTTGGTGCAATAATTAATAAGTTGACGTGTCAATAGTTTGATATCATATCATTTCATTTTTTTATTCGCTTCAATAATTTGAGTTGATAGAAAACTATTGATTGATTTTTTTTTTTCTTTTTCTAATTGTATGTGTGTGTATATATAATTTTCATAAATTACGGAAAATAATAAAAAGACATTTGCTGGATCGAAAAATGGCCTTTTTCGGTCTTCAGAATTTAAGTGGGCTACAGCCCAGATGCGATTTAGTATGAGAAGAAACCGAAGGCCCAAGCCCATCTTTTGGGAATCCGGGTTGGCCCTTGATGGTTTCAAATAGGCCCATACTAAATTGAGCTTCTGAAAATGGGCCATTCAGAAAATTTCTGGGTCCAGTTGGTTTACATTGGATCAACTCAAAAAGCTGATCAGGATCACCGGGCTCAACCGATGGGCCCAACTGGTGGACCCAATTCCTATAGTTGGATTCTCAGTTGTTGCTGCCGGCCGGGCCCATTTTCAGACAATTTTGTCTAAATTCAAAGTGTTTGGGCCTTGTTTGGGCCTAATTCGTTTATGTACGGGCCGAGCCAACTGGAAAAGGGGTGATAAAGATCAATGGGCTCAACTGATGGGCCCAATCACGTATGACAATTTTTCGTAACTCTAATTTATATCAATTTGTAGATAACTCATCTGGTTCATAAATTCTCAACCAAAAAAGTCATGATCCCTCATGTTGACTAAAAAAAAGCTTCATTTGATAGCTAAACATGAAATAGTAATTTAAGACGCTAATCATTTAACACTCGTAAATTACATATTCACCTCAATTTAAGAACTTAATTCTGATTAAAAAAAGAAACTATCAAAATTCTATATGAAATTAATGTCAATTTATCAAAACATTGACCCTTTTTTTTCCTTGGGCATCATAATTTCCTTTAAAAYGACAACATAAATCAAAGATTCCAATATTTTGGAAATTTCCCCTCCCCAGAGAACTCAGAAGCAGTTCAATAGTAATTGTCAATAATTTATATATTATAAGAAAAAATAAATAAATATAGTTGAACTTATCAACTGTCTCGAGAGCAAGAGATTATGCATTCAAACAAATAATCGGGTCGGGTCGGGTCGGGTCTTTTCCCTATAGACTGAGATTTAAAAAGAGGAGAAAAAAGGGAAGAGCAAAGGTTGAGATCAGTTACAAACCTGTTTATAGGGCATTTCCCTTCCTAAAATCAGTTAAAAAGTGTTTTTGAGTAACTTCTCTAAAGGAAAAATAAACAAACTGACTCAAAATATTAAAAATACACCCAAACACAGAAAACACCCAGATTTCAATAAATACACAAACGAGTCCTTTTTTCTCCTTTTTATACTAAATACATCACACACCAAAGCCTAATAAACATAAACAGGGTTATCGGGTTGTCATCGATCGCTCCAATCAATCAATCTGAATTCAGTTACCGAATTGTATCTATGTTCTTACTCAGCTCCTCCAGCTTCTTCAGCCTCAACCTCTCGCTTTCGCTCACCAGCTGCCCACCGAAAGAAGAAAACAAATCAATCCAACAATCGGAACCCGAACGACAAGACACAAAAAGAAAAGAGTTTCAACCAAATGGAGGAGGCCCATTCGAGTCCCCTTGAAGCATCAAAATCAATACGGTTCAAAATGAATTGGATGGCCCCGCCCAACGTGCAAAACTGGGTTCCTAGTTGCTACTACTCGGTTATTTATGACGTGCAGATGATGGAAAACGAAAGGAATTCAGGGGGGCTAACCTCCATTAATTTCGTGATGAGCTGAACTTTTTCCTTGTTCTTCTCGTTAAAGGCGTCGAGGGCGTCCTTGTACTCTTTTTCCTATGACAGACAATACAAAAACCAGCTCAGTGGTCCTACTTAACTTGATATTGTTTGTAAGGTACAATAATTGAGATTCAAGAGAATGCATATATCATCTTATAAGCTCAGCAATGCTTGTCCACACACCAATTCCTTCCCCCCAAATCTTACCTTCTTTTGACAGGTATGTCCCAGAGGCTTTAATTCCTTGTTCACCGCATCGATCTTTTTACGAACCTGAGCCACTTCTTTCCTCATCGGATCTGCCAGCGCTTCGAGTTCCTGTTGTTTACAAAAAAAAGACCATTTCAATTGAACAGCTAAACCAACTCGAAACCGGGACATTGCCGTTCATCTTTTATGATATACAAACTCTTCCTCTACTACATGTTTATCCACTTAAGCTAATATTAGAGTACTAAACGACTCTTCGGCACAATACCGGAGCGATTTTTAATTTTGTAGTTTGCACCCGGGCGTGTTTTGCTCCTTGCCATAAAAGAGCTAAAATTTAGATCAAAGCCCCATATTTCTTCCAACATCTTCAGGTGACCAAAATTATGGAAAATATTTGAGAAATTGGAACGTCATCTTAATAAAAGTTTCTAGGTCAAGAATGCTAGACAAAATTATACAAATAAACTTACAAATCTGACATAAAGCTGCCCCTAATCCCTTGAGAAAACATTAATTTAATCCCAAACACCATGGATAATAGAAACTAAATCAGGCAAAAAGGGCTAAAAATTCCTCGTCCACAGACCTTTTAGGCAAAGATTCACCCAAATCATGGCCAGTTTCATGAGATCTTCTGCAATTCTCTCTAACTTTTCTCCCAAACCCACCAAATTTACATAAAACATAGCAGAAAAGCAAAAAAGGGTTTCACGTAAACCAAAATTCCTGAAACCCCCTTAAAAATTTTCGAGGTAAAACCCTAGAATGGCAGAGATTTTCGGTTACCTCCCTGATGCAGGCGAGGCGTTTGGTCTCTTCTTCAACGCGGCCGAGCTGGACCTGAACCTTCTCTCGAACCTCCATCTTCTTCCTCTCGATCTCCTCTTCCTTGGCTCTGAAAGTTGAGAGAGCGGACCTCGAAATTTCTTCATCTTCCTTCGACAAATGGCTGCTGAAGCTGAGGCTTCCCTGGTTGTTCTGCACCATTAATTGCTGCTGAGGCTGCTCCGTCTGCATCGTCTTAACAAGAAAACCCTTCTTCTTCTTCTTCTTCTT